TTCCCCAAAACGTTGGAAGCTATTCTCATTGAACTAAAATAAAGCAACATGTGCACGAAGGTCTAAAGAGACCAGGCAGCAAATACTGCACAAATGAGCACTACATCTTGTTTAACTGACGAGAAATGTGTCCAATTTGTGTTAGGATGTTTTTATTGTTGTTGAAATCAAAAGGAATTTTTTGGTGCTTTAATTCCTACAGTTATTCAGTTAACTCATATTCATTCACACGTATGCACGCCTAAAATTGCTTATTAATCTTCTGGTCGAACTGTGCAGAGTATACACCGATTAAAACACGACAGTTAGGATTCACCAATAAGGCTTATCCACAGTTAGTAGTGTATTATGCTTGTTTGTCATTTAAGAAAGTTACTCCAAAGTGGCATTCACTGATTGAATACCAAAATATATATATATATGAAAGAAACAACTAAATGTAAGAATCTTTTCGATTAACTTAACTCGTGATCGCCTAAAATGGGCATCTTACAGTGCGTAATCCTCAGAAGAAAAAAAATGTTGTATTCTAGTTACAAATCAAAAACTATATACCTTCTCCTCAAAAACTACGGAAAAAAAATAAAAATAAAAAATGGTACAACAGCCCGCCTTTCTCAACGGCCCGAGACCGACGAGAAGGCATACGAGTAAGCAGGCACGGAAGGAACACTTTCCCCGTCAGCCCGAACAAACACGGGCCTCACCCGTCCGCCAACTCTCTTCCGATCTCCACCGCCATCATCATCATCTTCCGCCGACAGCAGATCCACAATCAGCATCCGAGTCTCGGGAGGTCCCTCGACGGGCGCCCTCCCTTCCAACATCTCCACCACCCGCGCCATGCTCGGCCGCGCCTTCGCCTCGTCTTGTATGCACCACAACGCCACACAAACCATCCTCCTCAACTCCCCCTCCTCAACTCTCCCACCTCCCTCCAAAAGCCTCTTGTCCACAACCTCCATCAACTTCCCCTCCTTCATTTTCTCCACAACCACCCTCGGAAAAAACTCAAACCTCTTCCTCGAAGACGACGACCCGTCTACCCGACCCGTCTCGCGTATGTTCCTCCTCCCGCCGACCATCTCGAGCACCACCATCCCAAACCCGTACACGTCGCACTTCTCCGAGGCCCCGCCGCCCGAGAGCCACTCGGGCGCGAGGTAGCCTCGGGTCCCGCGCACGCCCGTCACCACGCGGCTCTCCTCCCTCCCCTTGAGCCTCGAGAGCCCGAAATCCGAGACGAGCGCGCGGTACCCCTCGTCGATCAAGATGTTCTCGGGCTTCACGTCAAGGTGGAGCACGCACGACCGGCAGTCGTGGTGGAGGTACGAGAGCGCGCGCGCCACGTCGAGCGCGACCCCACGCCTCGACTCCCACGACAGGCATCCGCTCCTCCGGGTTTGTCCCTTTTTTTTGCACGACTCGGGGAAAATCCAGTTGTCGAGCGAGCCGTTGGGGATGAACTCGTAGACCAAGAAGAGGGGCCCACCGGAGGACGAGGCCGACGTGCAATAGCCGAGGAGGCGGACGAGGTTGATGTGTTGGACGCTCGCTAAAGCCGACACCTCGGATTTGAACGTCCGGTCGCCGCGCTCGCGGTCGCCGCCGTCGTCTATCCGTTTGACGGCGACGGGAGTGCCGTCGGTTAGAATGCCTCGGAAGACGGAGCCCGACCCGCCGCGCCCGATCATGGCCCGGAACCCGTCGGTGGCGTCCTCGAGCTCCCGGAGGCGGAAGCGGGCGGGGACTCCGGCGACTTTGCGGAGGAAGCTGTACTCGACGCGGAGCTCGCGGCCTTGGGAGTCCAGCTGGCGCTCGAGGCGGGCCCTGCGGGCCCGGAAACGGGCCCGGAGGACGGCCACAGCGAGCACGGAGAGGATGGCGGCCACGTCGGCGCCGCATATGAGGAAGAATGTTTTGGAGAGGCCGAGAGTGAGGCGGGCGATGATGAGGAGGATGAGTAAGAGGATGATTATGGAAAGGGCAATCAAGTTTGCTCTTTTGTTCTCCATAAAGGAAAATAGTGAAAGGAATAAAATGGGAGAGTGAGGACAGTATGGTTATTGGTCCATTTTGGTTGATTTTTCATGCTTGCACAGTAGTAGTTGACTTTTGAGGGGTGGGGTGGAGAGATCGACGATCACATGTGGAGACGAATATTATATGTGTTGGTTCAAAGTTTGTGTTAATTAATAATGACTTTTCCCACTGTTTTAACATTTCTTGGCAAGTTCACTAGGAGGCTGGATTAGTTGGGTGTTGACCCAAATATTTGTTTGTACTGATAAATTTCTTTAATTTGTGAGAGGGATGGCGCTAGGGAAAAACTAAACCCATTGCTATGGGTCTTAATGAGCCGAGCAGAGTTTGAGTTGAGCCGAGCCAAGCAGATCGTTAGTATAATTGCTCGATTTCTTCATTGTTGCTCAATCTCGAAGAGATTGACAAACTCGACTCGGCGAAAATATTCAATTGCTTAAGATCAATTTGAAATGCATCAGTTTGAATTTTGCTCGATTTCAAATTACCGATAAATTTATAATCGATAATTTTCTTTTTGTTATACATGAAAATCCTCAATATTCACCAAACATTCATCAATCCACCAAGCATAAGAGATATATGTATTTGCAGCAGAGATAATGAGATAGAGAGAAGCAGAAAAATCTATATCATTTATCGGTCTTTCACTTCTTTTTAGAGTTTACATAAGAGGAAAAGCTAAAACCTAATCTACTTACCTAATGGGCTTTAGCCGAATTTGTATATTAGTAATGTCCATATCAATATATTTATAACACTCCCCCTTGAACAATACTATATGCCTCATTAAGAACATTGCTAATAAAAACCGGCAAGGAAAATTAGTCAAGGAAAAAATTGTACATGATTTATATAAATTTATGTATTTTACTAGTTGCCTCATTAATAACCTTTACTAATGAACCCAATGGAAAAAACTTAGTAAGGAAAAAAGAGTACAACAATTGTTTGGGGATTATTTTGAGTTTGTCCCTCCCCTTGATGACAATAGTCTTCCAGTTTACGCATACCAATACCATACATGTATCTTTTAAAAGTAGATGTAGGAACAAATTTGGTGAATAGGTCTGCCGATTCTCGCTAGACTGTGTTCTTTTATACAATAATCTCACCGCTTTTCTGGAGCTCATGTGAGTAAAAGAAGTCATGCTTCCTTTAACATATCAACTATTCATTTGCAAACACAAACATTGTCCTCGTAAAGGACAATGGGGGTTCTAACATTTGTAATTCTCATGAAGTCTCGTATAAAGCAATTATCTCTGAATGGTTTGAAGATGTAGTAACTATTGACTACTTGACCGACTTCCAGGAAACTGTAGTACCACAACAGAGGAAAACATAACCAGTCTGAATTCTGCATTATAGGGATAAAAAATATAACTAGCATATGAATAGTCTACCAATGACATATCTTGGTTATTCTTATAAAGTAAATCAAAATCATTTGAACCTTGAAGATATCTAAAAATGTGTTTAATGTCATTCCAGTGTCTCCTCGTATAAGAAGCACTAAACCTTGCTAGCAAGTTTCTTTCAAATGCAATATCAGGTCTAGTGCAATTTGCAAGATAAAATAACGCGCCAATGGCACTAAAGTAAGGAACTTATGTTCCTAACTTTTCTTTGGTATCTTCTTTAGGTCTAAATGGATCCTTATCCGCTTCAACAGATCGGACAACCATTAGTGTCTTAAGTGAATGAGATTTATCAATAAACAATCTTTTTAAAACCTTCTTCAAGTAGGTTGACTGGTGTACAAATATTTCTTTTGGGAGATGCTCGATCTGCAGACCGAGGCAATATTTGGTTTTACCCATATGTTTCATTTCAAACTCCGTCTTTAGGCATGAGCTAGCTTTATCAAGCGCCTCACGTGTGCCAATAATATTTATGTCATCGACATAGACTGAAATGATACAAAAACCATCCGTTGACTTCTTCATGAACACATATGGGCACACATCGTTATTCACATAGTTATTTTTCAATAGAAACTAACTCAGTTGGTTGTACCACATTCTACCAGAAGCCATATAATGATTTTTGTTATTTAATGCTATACATGTTGCGTGTTTCATTTGTTCTTATTTCGGGAACAAAGAAATCCTTCAGGGACTTTCAAACACACACACACACACACACACACACACATATGTATATATTTGGATCTAATGACCCATATAAATATGCGGTCACGACATCCATTAACTGCATATCTAAATTCATAGTTACTGCAAGAGATATCAAATAGCGGAACGTTATCACATCTATTACATGAGAATATGTTTGATCAAAATCAATGTCAGGTGACCGCGCGTCGCAACGCGACAAATTAAAATTTATATTTTTCCTTAACCAACCTCTACTAACTAGTAGTAGCGGCGAGTAAGGGTCGATCCCACAAGGAGGGTGAATCAAATTGTGGATTTGCTCGTATTAGAGAGGGGGGATTTAAGATTTAATGACTAAACTAACTAAAATCCTAATGAAACAAATAAAATCTAAACAGAGGAAATAAAAATAAAATAAATAAGAGAATTTTTTAGTTCACAGTTCCGTCTACACCATCGACCGACTTGTCTAATCAATTTTAGTATCAAATGTCGTTATCTTATGGAATTACTAGCCCAGGTAATATCACGCTCTGCTACCCGAATGTTTCCTTACTTTTAATTTAACCGCGAGACGATCTACGATTAAACTCGACTTCTTGTACAGTCTAGGACACGCTCTCTAGATTTAATACAATTAGCCGCTTTAGGATTTAAAAAAATAGGCTAATCTAAATAGTGAATCCAACCGCGTGGTTCACTTAAATAATCGTGTTATCCCCGTTAGTTACCGGTTGCTCCTATGAATTAAACCCAATAACAATTACGGATTGCAAGTTCAATTCTAGCATTAGACATGAAAAATCTTATCTAAGTGATCAATCTAAATAAAATAAAATACATCATGGTTGCTTAGTCAAAATAACACAAATAATTTCAAAAAGATAATTAAATTATCAACCACGCAAATTAATCAAATATCGTCAAGTCGTAGAGTTCGACATTCCCAGAAGTAGAAATAAAAATCTACTCTAACATAATAAATTTATATAAAAAAAAAAAAAGAATAAAGTATGACCTTTGCCGGATTGCTCACGTCTTTTCTCTCTTCTCTGTTGCAGTCTTTCCTCTCTTCTCTGTTGCGGCGTATCTCTTTTTCTCTGGCAGCGTGGTTAATTCGATTTATTTACTTAAAAAAAAAACAAAAAATGAAGTGGACAAAAAAGAAAGAAAAAAAAATCAAGTCGACCAAAATAGAAAGCCCGTATTTACTAAATACGTTTTTTATTGTAAACCGTATTCAGCAAATACGGTTTTTATTATAAAACGTATTAAGTGAATACGTTCTCAATAAACAAATATTACGAAAGTTAAATAACGTAATTAACATAATTAAACTGTAGAAAAACGTATTTCCTAAATACGTCTTATATTTCAAAATTACCAAACGTATTAAAGAAATACGTTTTTATGTTAAAATTAATTTAATTTTATTTTTGTAATTATAAAACGTATTTAAAAAATACGTTTTATAAATAAAATCAATTTTTTCATTTCGTGAAAATAATTTAATTTGGGGAAAAAAATTTGGAACATAAAACGTATTTGTTAAATACGTTTTCCTGTGTAATTTTGCCCCAAAACAGAAAACGTATTTACGAAATACGTTTTTGAATTAAAAAGAATAGAATAGAAAACGTATTTGAGAAATACGTTTTTTGTATTAAAAATATATAACCTCTTAGTCAAATACGTTTGTATACAAAATCCAGTTCACTATCAAATGCACCTGTTTACAACCAAAAAATACACCTGTTCACAACAAAAAAATATACCTGCTCACAACCAAATCCATCATACCATAATTTTTCGAACAAACAAATGAAACACAATAATTTGCCGAACAAACAATATATACAAAACGATATAATTCGGTTTATACATACAATCCAACAATTCAAAATAAACACAAAATCAACAAATTCAACACAACTAACTAGGAAGGAGTGAATGGTTGTGTAGGTTTGCGCGGTCTAGACCCCCTCCTCCGAGTATATACCACGTGTGAAGAAGACGAAGGTCCAGGTGTGAGAAGCGTGTCAGTTTGAAAAGCCTGCTCATCTTCCTCTTCTTCATCTGAGTAATTCAATTGAAAAAAGAAATTATAAATTGAACTATAAAAAAAAAA